GAAGCTGATTTTGGTATATTTGATGAATTAGAAAATCGTATACCTATACCAAGAAATAATAATATACCACGAGTACAAATGAGCAATATGATGGGAACATTAAATAGTTTACCAGGTCATGAAAGATTTGATGATCCATCGGGAGCAGCTAGTATATTTTCGGATATTCGAGATCCTGATGATGTTGAATTAGTTACGGATATGGTCGATGATATGACTAAAGATGATGATATCGAAGATGAATTTGTTGAAGCATTAAATCCGAATTTATCAATTCCAAGATTGAATCCACAATCTGAAAGGCAACCAGCGGGATGGTTTTCCGTATGTTTAAATTAATCAAATATTTTCATATATACATATAATATATATTTTTATTTTAGTTCTTTCAAAATTTTTAAATAAACATATTTAATATGTTTCTCAACTCATTTTTTTATTCATTTGACTGCTGGCTCAGTCTACATCATATTTTATTCATATCGCTATGTTATCGAATTTCTATTCTTAACATCTTCGTTTTTTTTTTCGCTTTTTGTTTTATATTGTTTTGTTTTGTTTTTCTTTATTGTTTGTTCTTTTTTCGTACTTGATTATCCCGAGTGATTATTTGTGCGAGAAAGATGATCGTATTCAGTGATATTATTACAGATGATTAACAATAAGAAAAACAGTGAATGCTTTCTTTTTTCTTTATTTACATAATTATCTTATATATTCTTATTTTTTTTGCCTCAATTTCCTTGTATAAATAAAATCATTTAAGATGTTTTCATTGTTTTTCATTCTGAATCATTTGTCAATCTAAAGTTCAAGTGCATGTACAACAACAATAATCCAGCTATTCTAAATAGTGAAAGTTGAATAGAAATATTAAATATTTCAACTGTGCACATGAATAGCATTCAAAGACGCATGTTGCTTTAGATTCATCTCAAGCACCCTTCACTTTGATGTAAAGAAATAGTTTTACACTTATGAATATCATTCGATACAAAAGGACTAGTATTATCGATTTCATGTTGATTACAATAAAATGTCTCCTGTAGAAATGTAACATATAACAGAAATAATTTAATTCAAGTATTGTTTCCTAGAAGACCTAAACTAATTTCTTGATTATATAGAAATGCTCATTGCATGTTACTTTATAGAATAAAAATAGTATTCTACTGAACACGAAATAGAAAATCTCGTATGCAATTACTGTCATACAACAAAAATGGTTAGTATTCATAACAAAAAGTAATATTATTATTTTGAAACAGTATAATAAATATAGAAATTTTACTTGGAGAAAGCAATTATGTTAGAACGAAGTTTGATTTCCCGAGCTTATGAAACTTTTTCCCATGTGTAAAAGGTGTTCAAGGTATTTCATTTGTTTTTGTTATATCATATTGAGATGAATTACTAACTGATTTTGTTTTCTTCATGATTGAAAAGAAATTAAATATATTTAACGACACTATATTACATAAATTTATTTTTAAACGGGAATAATGATAATAACAACAACAATAGTAATAAGAGAAAGAAGAGTGGTGACTAGTGAAGAATATCTATTGAGATAATTCATTTTTTTGGAATATTGCAACTCGTTTTTTTAGTTTTGATTCAATTGGATATATATATATGAAAGATTATTGCTTTTTGCGCACTGTTCGACAGAAATACAAACAACAACAATAATAATAACAACAACAAGAAAAAAATATTGAGAATATATTTAAGTTTGTATTATTTTATCTGAGAACATCGGAAATAAATGGAAACTTTCTAACATTATTAGATCCAGTTGATGATGGATCATCTGTACTTGCCATTGTGGAATAATCACCAAAAACAAATCGAAAACTAAATATATAAAAAGAAAAAACAAAAGATTCATAACAAATTTCTAGTAAATATATCTTATCAATATCGAACATACATTAGTATAACAACAATAGACAATATCAAAATAATAAATAAATTTATACAAAAATAATATACAAAACGTAGTAATAAAAACAAATGGGTTATCATTTTTTATTTTATGTGTTTATTGAGTTGATGATGGTGGTGAAAGTATCGGAATATTTGTTTTTGGTGTTTTTTGATTATTACTAAAAAGATTTTCAACAGAAAATCGTTTTGATGTTGATGAGATATTTGATTCAATAGATGGTGAAGAAAATGTAGAATAAGATTGTTTAACAGTTGGTGATGATGTTAATGATTGATTGGAAATATTATGTTTTATTGATGGCGATTGCTTCAATTTTGGAAATAATGAACGTAGACTGGAAACAAATAAACAAAAACAACATCGAAATTTAGACAAAAAACATTTAAAGCAAAAGCTGAAGTTGTTAGTTAAAACTTTAGTATTTAACATTCTTACACACTGATTCAGACTAATAGAAAATAGTCTATGAAAATGAAACATGCAAAATCGCTGAAAATTAAATATTTGGTCGAAACAATTCATGCACAATAAAAGAAAAACAAATCAATGTATATAGGTGTGCATAGTTTTGCTTGCAATCATGCCAGAAGCTTACCAAAATGATATAATTGCAAAGCAAGCAATAATGGGAAAGAATAGACAAAATTTTACACTGAAAGTAAATGGAAGATACATATATATATTACATATACAACAAGAGGAACATGCTAGGGGATAAGCAATTATTAGTATACGACATTTTAAATACAATAAGAAACATTTAACTTACAATTGACGAATTTTCGATTCATCTTGTTTTTCACCGTATAATTTTTCATCTGGTTCTAATGGAATTGGACCTTCAACAGCTCCATTATTATCATCATCATCTTCTCTAGAAATAAATAAATATATTAACATAAAAAACAAATATCTTTTTTTATTATTTATACTGTTCTTTAAATAATCGTAATTCTTCTTCAACTTCCATTAATTTAGTTTTTAAATCATTTCGTTCCCATAATACTTGTCGTAATTCTTGTAGGGAAAATCGTGGTTGATTTGCTTCGAGTGATGTTAACTCATTGATTGGATTCTATACAAGAAACTTTGTTTTTATTTTTATATTTTCTTAAACTTACAGTCGGTGATGATGGACTAGTAAGTTCATCCGTAACACTATCTTTCATATGATTAATAAAATATTCTTTTTCCTTAAGTTGAACTTCTAAATCAAATTTTTCAACCATTAATCGTTGAGTTTGATTAGTAGAGAATGTATTCTTTTGCCGTAATGTACAATTTAATTTACAAACACGCTCAAGTTGACCTTGAATCTAAACAACAATCAATAAATTTTTAAAGTTAAATCACAATTTATTACTATCATATTAATAATTATTTTATAGCTTATCAATTCAAACTTTTGATAAGAAGAAATAGGGTTTATATTGACTTTTTTGTTTGAATAGTAATTAATAAATAACTTGAGCCTTGCTTTTTTTCCTATTTCGTCAATGTAAATCTTTTAAACTACATCTCTACTTGCCAGGATTTATTATACGAATTATTAGTAATTAATTAATATTAACTGATTAATTAATGTTAATTGATACTTTCTGTCACATCTGCGATAAGCTGTTTCGAACGTATCTGTCACGTCTGTGATGAGTGATTGTCAAGATGTCTGTGGGAGGAAGGGGGCTGGATGGTGGATGCAAATTTCTACCTCTAATACTTCAATACTTCTTTTAGTTCGTGTTTGACAAAAAAATAGAGATCAAAAACATCGATAAAAACCATCTGCTACTGAAGATTCATTGAATCTGATGAGTTACGCTCGATTGTGGAGTCAGTCAATTGCAGTACTACAATACAAATAAATAGTAGCAAATCCAAATAAAGAATTTCGCAGTGAATTATGAATATTTAGATAACCATCAGAAACTAAAGGTGTTTGTAGGAATATTTCCAGTATATTAAAACATGCTGCCTATATATTCAATACTATCCGAATCGACTGTATTATATACTCATTTGACACTAAAATCCAAAGAATTTAATAAGAGATTTAATTAAAAAATCTCATCTTGCAAATATATGAAAGAAGCTTGTTATATTGAATTTCCTTGAGTTTTTTAATCTAGAAAAAACTCCTATATAAGCCATATATTCATTCTATTCGATACGATATCTTTCAAGTGCAGTAGACTATTTGTAAGTTGCAATATACAACGTTTATGACGTACTACTAATCATCTTATATAAAAGCTTTTTTGTCTCTGTAGAATCTAATCGAGTTTAACGAAAAAGATTCTTCTGCATTGTTTGTAAGAAAAACTTTTTCTTAATCCTAAAATATATTGAATCTTCTTCTAATCTATTTTTTATATTTCGTTAACCATTGCAATCTAGAATTGACATCATATCTCTTGATTGAAACTGACACATTCAAAACTATCAATATTCAAACTGATAAAAACCCATGGGATATGTGAGCGAAAAGAATGCTTGATTAGAATTATATTATAATTATTGTGTATTCGCTTGAATGATTTTTTGAGAAAAAAACGATAAAATCTAACTTCTATAAAATTAATTTTACATACCGCTTCCATATCAAATGTTTTTTGTGTTAATTCTTTATCTTTAACTTTCACAGTTCGTTTTAATTTCATATTTTCATCAGTTAAATTTTTAATGCATTGAAGTTCTTCACGAGTAAGACCTATTTAAAAAAATAGGAAAACTTAACAAAAAGAAAATAAAAATCTTCATACTAATTGTTTCTTTTGGACTAGGCATATTGGATTTATCATCTAAAGCATTTTTATGTTGAATTTCATCACGTAATCTTCGATTTTCATCTTCTAATTTCGAAACCAATGCCATAAGATTATCGGCCTAATAATTCAGAAAAAAAAACGAAATTTCTAAATATAAAAATGTTTGTTATATTATTTTCATTACTTCTTTTCGCCATTGATCTTCGATAAGTTCAAGTTCTTGATCAAATTTATCACGCAGTTCACGTGTTTCATTTTTTTCAGCTTCTAAACGTTCAATACGTGTTTTCATTTCCATTAATCGATCAGTTTCTTTTTCATTCTTCGCTGCTTGTAATTCAAGTAATTCAAGTATACGAATTACTTTCGGTACAAGATCACGAATTGTTTCTGTTCCATAAGCTATTAAATATCAAAAATTTTATTGAATGTATAAAAAAAAACATAAAATAATTTCGAATTACCTTCAATAATACGTTCAAAATCTTTTCCAATGAGTGCCGCTTCATCATAAACATCCAGTACAGTTAAATTAGGATATTCTTGTCGTAATAGTGATGAACAAGTCATTTCTCGTATTACATCAATTGATGTTCGTGAATCATGTTGATTAGTAGTTGTTATTGGAAATGAAAGAGTATCAGTAGTTAGATTTGTTTGTGAAACAATATCAGGTAAATGTTCAAAAGATGATGGAGATGGTAAATCTAATCAAAAGAAATAAGCAGACATGTGTATTATCAAATCAATATTTATGATAAAGCAAACATGTTAGATTAAATCTTTATATAGTAAGAATGAACACAAAACGATATCAAAATTTATGTCGAGTGGCTTCTTTTAGAATGAGTTTTTTATTATCTATCGTTTTTACGACTTTCTTTCGTCATTTATGACTGAACGATCAAATCCGATAAGCTACATACTTAATCTTTGCCCAATATTGACCTAAAAATCACGACATAACTCTGAAATCAGCGAGAAATAAAAAAAGAGTATATGTGCACAAATCGTTCAATACCATTGATATATGAACAAAAGAGTAATTCAAGATTTTTATATAGTCACTGAACAGTAAAATGCATTTAGGCACTGAATATAATAGTAAAAGAGAAAAAAAACGAAGGACATATCTCTTTAATAGAGTAAGAAAAATCACCTAAAGATTCAAACAAAGTTAAAATAATATTTTGTTTATAAAGTTAAAATATAATTCTCTATGGCATGACAATGATACTGTATCATTTCTTAACAGAACGAGTGAATGAAAAAAGAAAAATATGTAGAGATGAATCATGATTTTCACTATATACGATTATATACAGAAACGAACATAAGAACGGATAAAAATTTTCTTGCGTTCTACTTAACAATAAATATGAATTATATACTTACCATTCTTTGATTTGGTTGTCATTACTTTTGTTTAATAAGTTATACAAACAAGCTGTTTTTTGACAAAGAAAAGATAACAAAATCTACATCTATAACTCATTCTTTGATGATTCATTGTTTCAATACATCTATTGCCATCTATTTACATTTTTTTTATTCTAATAAAAACTAAAATTAAAACTAAACTAAAATAAAATAATAGAACTTTTTTTCATATTTATCTCATTTTTAGATAACAAATAAAGTGACATCTATTGAACTGTCATTACTCAATTATTACTAGACTTGCAATCATTGATATATATAAATACAAGGAAGAGAAAACCAAGCAAACTGATATTGCAGTCAATCTCTTCTCTACCTTTAATCTCCTATGGAAAATTTTAATCTAACAGAAGATCAGAGCAATGCTCTGATATATTTTCAAGTATAATAAGAAAATTATTTGTATAAAATAAAATCTTTTCAATTAAGGAAATTACACAAATTGATTCAAATGAAATTGGCATTCAATGTCTTTCTATGCATAATTGGGATGTACAACGTGCTGTTAATACTGTATTAACACCAAATTCTGATCTTCCTTCAACTCCAGAAATAGTACAAAATGAACAGCGAATACCTCCTGTTACGTCAGTTACTGCTCGATATATGCCAAATTATGCATTGTATGTTAAAAGAAATTAATATGATTATAATTTGATTATATATAATTTTAGGCAACTTTTTCGTACACCATTATCATTTCTGTATACTTTTTATTTAAAACTTCAACCTTTTTTACCTTGGAGAATTATTCGTGCTGCTTTTTCATTTTGTAAAAATACTTGATTAACTTTCGTTATTGAATAATATTTAATTTTTATTCTAGTTCGATCCATAATATGGACTCAACCACGACCATATCCAAGACCATATCCAGGACCAGATCCAGGACCAGATCCAGGACCATATTCGCGACCCGATCCACGACCAGATCCACTCAAGGAAATTGAAGATTATTGTAGATATTTTAATAATAAATATGATACAAAACATCCAACATTTTATCAAGGATTATTATCACAAGTATTTTATATTTTCCTTTTTTTGAATAGAACTTTTTTATAGAAAACTTTAGGTTCTTCGAGATGTACAACGAGAAGTTCGTTTATTATTTATATATATACATGATAAAAATTCAACATTATGCGATCGATTTTGTCAGTAAGTATCTATAAATCAAAAGCGAAACTTGCTTCCTAATACAATATTTTATCTTTTACATACATATTACAAATTTATATCATTTGAAATAATGATTTTTTTAAAGATTGAACTTACATAATAGCTGAATTATTGACGCTAATTTTAAGCTAAGTTTGTCACCAATAAATGTTCGATAACACAAACATTGTATCTCTGATTTCGACTACATACGTATTTTGTTCTTTAAAATTAATCAATACTTATAAGTTCAGATTTAATAATTATTATATATAAATTGTAAGCTTTCGTTATAAAATACGATTTGACCATTTGTAAGCATATAATCAATCAAATTAGAATCTCTATGTGAATCTTAGCATATGTAACTAAGATAAATATATTATTAGATCGAAATTATTCTATACTTATTTATTTTCTTTTAGCGAAGTACTTTGTGGAGATGCTATCCAACTCACAGTCGGTGATAATCTTTTTTGGAGTACAAGTCTAGATACTCAAGAAGGTGCTGCAGGTACGCTTCTATTTTGTGCTGTATTTTTTCAATACGTATTTCTTGAATTTTATTCAGCTAGTCGTTTATTAACTGCAAATTTTTATCCTTGCCTTTGTATTATTGCTCATCACGGTTCACAACAAACGATTCAATTTAAGTTAGATCGATATACTGGTAAATGAAATTTACAAGTGAAATAATCAGTAGTGTTTGTTTTTTCTTTCGTATTATTAAGATTGTGACCAATGTTTAGCGGAAATTATTAATGCTGTTGAAAATGCTAATCAAACATTACAGTATAATCGGTAAATTGTTAGAAAAAGAAAAAATATTTCATTTAAATTTTCTTTACAATAGTGAACGAAGAACTATCAGTAATTCGAGAGATCGTCTATTAGAAGAACAAAATGCCGCTTATTTAGATTCCGTTCGAATCGATCAAGAAAAAGTTTGTTGAAATTAATTTTTTTTTGTTATTCAAATCTCTTTTTTGACTACTTAAGGCTGAACAACGTCAACGTGAAGAAAATGAACGACGTAAATTAGAAGAAGAAGAACAAAAAAAACTTCAAGTATTATATAATGAAACATAAAAATAAAATAATATTTTTAATTATCTTAAGGAATTTACTGATTTTCGTGATCGTCTAAGACAATCACTACCTTCTGAACCATCATCAACAGAAAATGATATTATTCAAGTATCAATACGTTTACCAGATAATGAACCGATTAAACGTCGTTTTCAACGAACTGATTCCGCTAAACTTTTATTTGAATTTGCATGGACTAATGTCAATGTACCTAATCAATTTGAATTGTTATGGGGTTATCCTCGTAAACGTTATCAATATGAACAGTTGGGTGATGAAATCATAGGTGATCTTATGAAGGGGAATACTGAAACATGTTTTCTTGAACAGATTGATGAAGACAGATAATCTGTCTTTGTTTGTTTTTGAAATATAGATAAAAAAGAACAATTTGTTAATTAAGATATTTAAGAATGTTTAATAAAACATAAATTTTGTTATACTTATTTGCTTTAATTCAATAGTCGAACCTTATCGGATCTGTTACGAAATTCGATGAGAATTTTATAAGATCTGAGAAGATCCAATAGTATTCTAAGGTAGTAATCTTGTATTGATTAAGTGGTTGTTCATAAAATTTATAATTATTCAGTATTGACCGACATAATCTGATGTGATTCGATTTTGTACGATTCATCATTTTATGTATTTTCTTGAAATTTACGAATTATCGAAAAATGATTTAGATGAGAATCTTTAAATATCGATTGCATGCAAGTAAATTTGTTATGATTATTTGCTACATATAATAAACAAGATTAAACAAAATAAAAAAAAATCTTGATTCCGTACTTGTCATATCAGTTCTCATTCCTACTCATAAAACGTTCTTTTGGATCGTTTGCATTCAACTTGACGTAAAACGAAGATTATTTACTTGATTAATAAATATTTTGTCAATATCAAATACGCGCATACGAATGTCTACAAACCTTATGAAAGAATTGATAAAAATCGATGAACAATGATTGTTCTTTGTCTGAGTCAGCAACACAGCTGTATATTTTTTGTTTGGAACGATATGTTACACAATCTACTGGATAAGTTTATTTATTATTTTGTTTTTAATCAAAACAAAAATCTTTAAATCGCTTCTTGAAATGTTTCTTTGTTCTATTACTGATAAAGAATGGAGTATGACTAACTATTTGTTTCTATGTAGATTTCTTAGAAGTTTAATTCAGTAGAAAATCTACAAGCAATAATTTACGTTTATCTTCTTTTTGATATAACAAAATATTTTATTCCTTTAACTGATGACACATGAATATTTTAATTCCCTTTTTTTCAATTATTATGAAGTATGCTGAAGTTTCGATCATTTCATTTGTACATACCCATTGACTTGAAAACTCCAAATAATGAACGGTTTAACTTTTTAGAAAATTTAATATTTACATATCAGAAATGATGAAAACTTTTATTTCAGTTGCTACATAAATCAAGAAATATATGTTGTTAGCACACTGCTTACGACACTGATTAAATATTAAGTACACGAAAAAATTAAATGTGTAGAATGTTTCTCGTAAACTGTCTACACTCCTGACATTATATATCAATAGCTTGCTTTAAGTTTTATTTTTTTGCAATGTTTTCATCTTTTGCTCATTGAGAATAGTACTTAGTTAGAGAATGATCGAGTTTCATGCGTGGTAATATCTTTTAGATTTTATGAAATTATGAGTATTAAGAAGAAGTAAATGATACTTTTCTTTATTACTGACTCTCTCAAACAGAAGTACTCTTTTGTGAGAAAAAAATTGAACACTCGTATTGTAGGTATTCACACTTAATCCACAGTTGTCGTTTTTAACAAAAGAATAAATTTCAATGCTGGAAAATTTTAGGAAAAAACGTTTTTTATAGTTTGGGTAAAAAGCTTTAGTTGAAATCAATCTAGTTATAACAATTGTCCCCAATAGAATATATTGAAAGATCAATCAAGAAGTAGTCGACATAGTTCTGTTATTATTAATGAAATCTCAACAGTGTTCAAAACGATCAAACTGAGTTTATTCAATAATTTCAACAGATATTTATCAATTGATCAAACATGCTCGATTATCTTCTTTTTCTTTAACTTCTTTTTAATATATATATCTTCTATCTACTCACATAGTAGATCGACCAACAATAATAACTCAAATTCAATTAATAGTTCTATCAACCGTTTGTTGGAATGCAATAAATTCTTCTTCTACATCAACTTTAATATAAAAGCAATCAAATGACATATATTCAAAGATGTATTGGTTCTTTGAAAAATCATATGGAATAAAGCTATAATAATACAAAGAAGATATTTGGAAAAACATTCCCCAGCGTCTAGTGTCATCTGTGTTTTAGCACGAATCAACCAATTCGGAAAAACAGGCGTAGTGATTAGTTTATTATAATAGATAACAGAATGAGAGCAAAAGAAGAAAAGAAGAAAATAATGTAGAACATTGAATATCTCTTTTCATTTTGATATATTCTTTGGAAAAGTTAGATACAGAGGCAATCTTTCTAATTGATTACATTAAAAATATTTTATTTTTATATATAATTACTAACTGTCTTCTTTTTCAAATTTGTTTATTTAGATTTATAATTCTTTCATGTAAACATACATATAGACATTTAGCTCGTTGATGTGTTAGCGTTTTATATGCATCTGGTTTAATGGGTTGCGTGCGTAGATATTTTTCTTTTTATCTCATCAGCATATTACTTGATAGATTAATCAGTAACATTTTCTCTTCCGTTTGATGTTACTAAAAAAATATGACTTGAGTTTTAATTATTTCTAAAAGATCAATTTTTCATCTAAAATTCAGTTCTCATTATCATTCCAGTCGTGTTGTCAACAATCAATCATTTTTCGTCTTTATTTTTTGTCATTATCAACATACATACATACATACGTATGTGTCTGACAGCATATCCTCTAGTAATCGACACTTTTCTACATAAGAGAATACATGATGACATAACTATTTCTACTGCTTATTGTTTACATCGCCTACACTGATATTAATCAGATACTTTTAAAAATCGTTTTTTTCTTATTTATTGTAACTTGATCTTCATTTTTGTCTTTGTATAATAAACAAAAGAAGACATGCGAAGTGGCAGTAATTTGAATTGTTCGGACAGATTTAAATGAATCGAAATTCAATAGATCCTCCCTATTTCGTATGTGTAAAGTTCATTTGTAAATATAAACATCGCAGTACAGCATTTTCAAGTGCAGACAGAAGGAAAAAATGGGACTCGTCATAGAAAAAGAACAATTAAATAGGAGGAGACTAATCACTTGAGTACACACATTTGTACTATTCTCTTTCTTGTTGCTTTATTTATGTGTGCGCACGAGCATTTCTTTCCGATGAACTTCGTCAATGTCGGACCGGATGAAACAAAAAGATAAGTATAAACTATTAAAGAGAGACACACATCTTTTTCTTTTCCTTCATCTTCTTATTTCGTTGTCGATGAAAATTTAATCATTTATTTCCGTTTTTATCTATTTTTGACGATACTAATCTTTTTTTTTCCGTCATTTTATACCGTGAAATCTGATCCTGTACATCGAAAAAAAATCTATTGTATTGTGACATTTCTCTTTCTTTTGATTACGTGTACTTGTGCGTTCAGACGAGAGTAATAGATAAGTTTATTGCATCAATCGGTCAACGTTTGTACAGTTGTCGATGAACCTTGTAATAAGCAGAGGTGCAATATTCTCATGAATGTCCCTGACACATATGCCTCTACATTCTTCTTATTTCCTATAAATAAATAACACTCTATCTGTTTTGTATATATATATATTAATTGAAAAAATCTAACTTAGTTTAGATGCAAATTAGACAGTAATTACATCATGGGAAACAATTCTTCAGCAGCAGCAGCATCAAAAAAATCAACAAGTAAAAAGCAAAGTTTTTTCTGTTGTCCATGTCTAATATCGAAAAGTTCTTCATCATCATCACTTTCAATTGATGAAAAATATTTTCCAACATTCGATCGTATTAAACCTGATGAAAAAATTTATCGTTCTCCGCCATTATTCAAAGAAATAATTCCATCAACTTCACATATAACTCAAGATGACGCAGAGAAAACTCTTTTGTCATCATATAATCGTCGTTCCGTATCGTTACATAATGTTGTTTCAGTCTCACCAGATGTTCCTGATGGAAATCAAGGACAACAACCTATTCATTCAAAACCACCATTACCTCCAGGAAAATCCGTAACTGTTTCAAAATTACCACCAATAGGTCGATCATTTCGTGTTACATTAGGTGATACAAAACGAACATATTATTCTCAATCAATTCAACATGCTAGATTATCCATTGAAGATTTAGAAAAATCTCTTCATGGCTCATCTAGTATTGATCAATGGATTGATTCATTACCTATTGTTGGTACACCTTCGTTAAATCGTAATAAATCAACTCATGCAAACCGAACAGTAGTATCAACAAATAATAAAAAAATCAAACGTAGTTTAACAACTGGTGATGAATATGATGATACGAATCTCAATGGTTCATATAGACAAGTAAATGAAAATGATTTTTCGAATAAAATACATAAATTAATTTATTTTTATCTATCTAGGAAGATGAATCAACTAAATTACTCGAAACAACTTCTCCCAAAACTGATTTTCCACATATTTTAACATTAAAACACAATCGTGAATATTTAGCTCTAGTGAAAAATTTTCGATTAAATATTTATTTAAAAGACTTTCTTACTCGATTAAATAATCCTTCAATAAAACAAACATTTAAAAATCATTTTTCAATAGCAACAGTTATTTATCCATTTCCTGGTATTGATCAAACATTAGCTGATAGTTTAAATCTTTTTCTTATAACTCCATCCGAATCAATATTACCAAATTTATCATCGAATACACATAGTTCATATAGAACTTATGAACAAATACGTTCAAAATGTTATTTTATTCCGACAAGCGATTATAAAATTGAAGCTGATGATGATGAATATAAAAAGAAACGTATTGAACTTGATCGAACACATGTTGTTATAACAATTGAAAATAAAACTACCGAACACGATGATACAACAAAATCAAAAAAAGTACCGATTGAACCAGAATCATTTTATATATTTACATCGGATGATTCATTTCATACGGGATTTATACGTATTGATGAAGATAAAATTCCTAAACATATATTACCATATATTTTTCATTCATCCGAAGATAATATTTATTATGTATCATCAAATTTAATTCAACAATGGTTTAATACATTAATACTTGTTAATCAAACATGTGCAATTGCTAAACGATTTTTAACAGGTGACGGAAGTCATATTACTTGTCTAATTAAACAACAAACAAATCATACAAGGTAAATAAATATTGTTTAATAGGATTTCTAGAGTAAAGAATCAAATTTTTCATTTACTCTAGTTCATTTTCATTGGAAAATAATTTAACATTTGCTGCTTTACGTCTCCCACCATGTATGTCTTTAAGTGATTCATTACAAACGAATCTTGAAGAAGAAAAATCAAATATAACCGATGCATTTTCATCAACATTTTTATCTGATAATAAAAAAACATTTGCTGATACAGTTCATATTGATTATGAACAATATTCATTTGCTTTTCTACTTTATCGTTGGCCTAAATTACTCCTTGATAATTATTTTACACAATCAATACGTGATTCAAAACGTAAATGGCCATCAAAATATCATTTAAATATAATCATTAAGAAACCACTGATACTCGTACCAATTCAAAATGATCATAAATGGAAGATAAGTTTTGATTTAATTGAACAAAGTTTATTTGAATTAATGAATGAATCTACATTATATTTCTACGCATTATGTCAACAATTATTTTCTCAAACAGCAACAACTCGTACATGTGTAAAACATTGCTTTTTAAATTATTGTGAAAAATATGGTTTACCTTTTTCAAGGTAAAGTTTTATTTATTCTAAATAATGAGAATAAAAAGTGTTAGTTTACTCAGCCATATATTAACGTTCATGCAAGGATGAAAGTCAAGAGACCGGTATAATTTCTAACAGAGATAGAATTAAAATGTCTATAAAAACACTCCATTCCGTTAATTAAAAAAGTCATCGATTTTCAATGTGAAATACATACATAGTATTTGCACTAATCTAATAAGTCCTAGTAGCCGATATTCTGATGATAGACTGATCGGTAGACACCCGCACGGAGTCATTTTCGGAGTCGCCGTCGGAGTCAAGTAAATTTCATGTCAATAATTCAACTTTAACGGTAAAAGTTATTTAAGTTCATAGCTTTGTTGTCCAACATTTTCTCTACAAAACTATGTATTTTGGTTTGTGAGACTCACCGAGACGTCTACTGATCTCTAAAAATATGTAATTTTATAGAGAAAATGTCGGACTACAAAGGTATGAACTTAAATAATTTTTAACCTTAAAGTTGAACTATTAACATGAAACTTACTTGACTTCGACGACGAACCCGAGAATGACTCCATGCAGGTCCCTACTGATCGGAAATTTATACCAATTTTACATCTAGTTCTATTCTTCTACACTGTAAATTTTTTTTTGAAATTCCAGAAATGTCAACAATTTTTAAATTTTATAATTCATTAGTTGATTTTCGTGAATCTATGAACTCAAATTTATTTCCCAGCAAACAGCTGCAGATTGAAAATTTTTGTTTTTTTTCCAGCGATAAGACCAAATTTTGCTCTAAATACCTTTTACACTCCCGCCCAAGAATTTTTACGCTCTTTCAAAACTCGCTAAAACTACCCTCCCCCTCCCAATTTTAGGCCCTTTGCGCGGGCGCTGGAATTCATATAGGCATTTCTAGAATATCCTTCAAAAAACTCTATTTCTAGTTTACAGTATAGTTTCGTTCGTGATTTTTCTATTTGATTTTTTTTAGTAATCGCGAACATACAACTGATAATATACACGATTTAATGTCGCATTTTTTGCGAGAAATTCATGTACAAATAAATGAAAAATTTATTCCAAATTATTTTAATCATGAAATAAATCTTTATGAAACAAATACAAATTACAATCAATGGTATGATTACATAAATAGATGTTTAAACGATAGTACATATATATCATTATCATCATCATTAACAATATCGAATCGTCCAATAATTGTTGAATTTTTATTTCATTTTATTGATCAATTATATCAAACATTTCATATAAAACGATCACAATTTCATTTAAATGAAAATGTTCTTGTTGATTTACATAAACAATTATGTGAAAAATTATCAAATGATACAAATAATAATAGTACATTATTACATGAATTTATTAATCATTTATTAAATAATCAACAATTACTTGAACATATACAATCAAATTTAACATATGATTTTGAAACAAATGCTGAATTAGTACATACATGTTTAAATCAAGTTCGAAAAGCCGAATCATCATTAATCTTTCATTATACATGGACTATATATGTACAATATTTACATACGTACTATAATGTACTATGGAATATTTAAAAATAGAATACAAGAACATTACATTGTCAGATGGCATCTTTTTTTTTATACGACTTTTTCCGGTGATCGTTGAAATCTCTCCCTCTCTCACACACACTTTTTTATGTCTATGCGTTGTTATCCTTTCTGTCTTATTCTATATATTCGTTTTTGGTCTCTTATTTTATTTTGCGTGCAAATTGAAAAAAAAACGCATGAGAATGTGTAAGTAGTCTTATATACATATATATTTCGTTTTCTTTCTGTTGTTCTCGATCTTTCATACTTGTTGTTTGTTGGACTTTAGAGGATGATAAATAAAAAGAAGAGAATGATAGTGATTGAATTCATGTATATTAACATATAAACATTGTATCCTGATAACATTGCCTGTAACAGACCACAGAATTCAAGCAAACTAAGCTATACGCAAGAGAAATTGAACAGTTTATAGTTCTATATTAATCATCGGTATATCGAGGTGAATTATTTTACAATTTATGATAGTTTCCCTTTTCTCTCTATGTATTTTATTCATGAAGGGTAGTCTGTAATTTTTTGTGTATATAAACAATAGATCAATCAATTACCATGAGTTACAGAAATATAATTATTGATCAAAGTTATAACTATTTTACGTCAATGATCAATTTACAGACCGTAACATATCACCGAGTAAAAATTCGACATTTTCGATATGAATCTAGACGTAATAAACTATTAACTTTCAAGGAAAGTCCTTTGCTAGTACAGTACCTTGGTTATAATATGTTGTAATCATATAAACAGTTTTCTATAGTATTTTTATTTTTTAGTTTACGGTCATCATTCGTCTCGAGGACATGAGTCTATTAGTTTATGAGAAATTAAAATTTTCTATTTATTACGTGAATGCCTTTTCTATCAAACATTTTCGATTAGAATCTAGAGAATTTAGGTTTTTTCAATGAAAAATTGTACATCAACAATATTATTGTGTACTATTATTCATTTATATGATGTTAATTGAAATTCACTAGACAAATTTTTATTCTTGGAATTGATCTACGATGATGTATAAACAAATTGTATATCACGAAATGCTTTGCATTGTGGGAACAGTTAGATAGGCCATCGTTTTTCGATCGCAATAATAGAAAAAAAGAAGTGAAACACAGTAATCAAACGAATTCAAAAAAAAAAAAGAAAATGCATTTAAAAAAAAAAAGAAAATGAATTTAAAAAAAAAAGAAAAGAAAATGAAAGAAAGACATTGGAGTGAGATGAAATAATCAAAAGAAAAAGAGAACAATTCGTTTTCAATCATTTTTTTTATGATACGTGTTCAATTTCTTCATATGTTTTTTTTTACTCCAATTAACCACTGACACCATACTGAGGTAATGTTTGATATTGTACGTTTTGTACAAAACCATTACCTTGTTGACCTTGTTGATCAAAACCTTGTTGTTGTTCTGTTAAAATATACATTCATATTTAATATATTAAATATATAAAATATAATAGAACTTACCAGCATATTGTTGACCTTCAACAGTACTACCATTTGAATATGCACTTTGTTGATAAATATATCCACCTTGTTGATCACCAGAAACTTGACCAGCACCATTTGCAGCTCCATTACCATATGGTGCATATTGAACATTTTCTTGCATAAAACCACCTTGTCCACCACCAGACAATGAACCATTGGATGCACTAGAAAGAAGACCTTGTTCACCAACAGCTTCATAACCACCTATTGGACCAGCAGCACCAGCTAATAATGCCGGATCGACATGATCAGGATTAGCACCTGCTGTCTAAAAAATAAAATATGAAGACATGAATTTATTTTTTTGCTTCTTAAGAAATTGAAAAGTTTTGCATACATATTCAGGACCAAGATTAGGAGTGGGTAAACCTTTAACAAAATCAGGTAAACCTTGTGTAGGTCGTAATTGTGCACCATATTGTTGTACATATGTAGTTGGATCCGCTTTGATAATACCCAAATTACGGAATTCTTTGACAACACGAGCTTGTGTACCTTCCCATTGAATAATAAGATTTTTTTGTGGTGCTGGTGGTTGAATTGGTGGTGCTTTTTGATAGATAACACGTCGTTTTTGTTGTTTATATGGAAGCCAACGTTCAACAATAATACTAAAAAAAACGTTTTCTTTTAATTTTTTTTTGATAAATTAAAAATGAATTAACTAACCTTTGAGGTTTTGGTGGTAATGGTGGCATTCGTTCAATGATGACACGTCGGGGTGGTGGTGGAGGAGGTGGTAAAGGTTTCGTAATCAATTTAGGAGCAAGTTGAGCAGGTGGTTGTGGTGGACGTTCTCGAATGATAAGTGGAGGTGGTGTAGCTGGTCGAGGTGGTCGTTGTCGAATGACGATAGGTGGAGCAGGAGGTAAAGCGGGATTTCGAACCTTAAAAATAAGCAAAATTTTATGTTTATTATTTAAAATGTAATTATCTAACCTCTTTAATAATCAAAGGACCAGGTGGTGGTGGTGTTGGTGGTCGTAAATATCGTACAGCCACTTCTTGTTTATATGTAACAGCATCATTAGCATGTTTACGAATAATTTGTGGGTTAGGATCAAAATTAATCTTGTAGCCATTCTGGCCTTGTTGTTGTGCAAGTTGTCCAGCAGCACCTGCATACTGTTGAACAATACCAGCATTACTTTGTTCAACAAAACTAGCACTACTATTTTGTTGATCACCAGCAAGCTCAGCTCCACTACGTGTATATTGTGCATAATTTACTTCTTGACCCTGATGAATACCTCCTTGTTGATCACCACCTTCTTGTCCTACTTGCTGTTGATCAACACCACCTCCTGCACTATAATATTGATGACCACCTGGACTTGATGCTTGTGCTTGATAAGCATATTGATGTTGAACATATTGTTGATCTGGATTTCCAGGTGATGTTGATTGTGGATATGCTCCAGTAACACTATCAGCCATAGTTAAAATTTGCGTTTGTTTTTTGTGTTTTAGTTGTTGATCAAATTAACCCGAGTATATGTGTATATTGATATGCTTTTGTGTCACACGTTTAGTAGCAAGCGAGAGAGAGAGAGAGGTAGAGAGAGGAAGAGAATGAGAGAGAGATGTAAGGATGGTCACCAAGAAAAAGAAAAAGAAGACTCTTCATTTCATCGTATTTTGTGTGATTAGTGATGCGCAACACAATTTCCATCGGTCACGATCACTATACATAGACATTTTTCTTTTATTCTCTTACTATATTTCACGCGCTCGTCGTGCTTGACTTACTCTCACAATGAGCAAGCAAATGAATGTGTATGTCCACATTTTTTTATTGAACATGCTCATTTCACCATTCATCGATCGATCATTTGGACACTAATCGCCCATCCGTAAAGTCTCTTTTGCCATTGGTGGTGACATAAAAAGGACGTGATAAATATACATATAGAAAAATTATCTTCTCGCTTTCTCTTTCTTTTTAATATATACATCTTATTTTTTTATCATTATTCAGCAATATAAACGGGTAGTCACTCTCATTATATGTTTAATGATCTTGATCTGTTGTTATTGTTGTTGTCTTTATCATAATATAATATGAAAAATTGAGAACTTTACATAAATTAGAAGAAGAGAGATCTACATATATGTGTGTATATATATATACATATATCAATGAATATCCTATATATATATATGAGAAATAAACATTATTTGATTTTTTGTCATTTTTTTTATTCGAGAATTTTCTCGCTTTTTCTCTTTCTTTTGTTCAACGAAATGATGATATTATGTATGCATTTTTTAAACGGTATCCATCGTTGTTTCTTGGTCATCATCTACTTCTTGTTGTTGTTGTTGTTGTTGTTTCCAAGCTGGTGTATCTTTGAGTGAATGATATTTCGTGAGTGGTTCGCAAAGTTCACTTATATCATTACGATTTGGTCGACAAAACCATTTTGGTAAACTACGAAATCGAAAATGAACATAACAACAATGTCCTTCTTCACATTCTTCATGAAATTGACAATGATCCCATTCTTAAATATAAAACAAATAGAAATATTACGGTTCATAGATCAATCATCATTACCCATTTTTTTGCTTTCATGAGTTTGTTTTAGTTCTTGTGCTTTATAAAATGGTAGTGCTGGTTGACTAATTCCATAGGGATAAAGTTGATTCACTGGATTATAATATGGTGGAATGACAAAGTCTTCCTTATTACGTCTTGCAAGATGATGATGATGAGATGGTACTAACAAACAACGTTTGTCATCTTCTATTTTATATCAACAAGAAAAAAAGCAAATTCTAATAGAAATATAAAAAATAATTTATACCTTGATTTGAATAACAAATTAAATCCGAACAACAATCACTATTGTCTTGACATGTATCTCCTAAATTATTACATTGTTGTATTTGTTTATTTTGATAAAAAATATTTTTTGGATCATTATTAATTGTTGCCAAACATAAATTTGAAATTAAAAATCCAATGCAAGAAGTGATGAGTAGCCACATGAGGATAAGATAATATATTGGCAAGAGAAAAATGATTTATTTTTTTTGTTCTATGAAGAATTTTAGTAATAATAGAATAGAAAGTGTCGTCTTCCGATGATAGCAGTTGAGTACTAGAGAAAAAAAAAGAAACATATAACAATTACATGAAATAACAGGAAATATAGATAATATTTTTCTTTTCTTTCCAATAGTCATACATATCCGATGCTAGTCAAATGATGAGGAAATGATCAAAATTTTGCTTTTTATATATTTATATAGGACTAGTGGGATGAGTGAGAACTTAATTAATTATAATTAGAAAAAATTCATAGAATTGATTTTTTTAATTTATATTTACTAATAAAGATGATTTTAAATATATATGAAAAGAACTAGAAGTACATCTAAGATAAAAAATTGCTTTCTTTAACATCTAGAAAATCTTTAATTCATAACAAAAAGAAAAATATGATTCTTCTTTGCTATCTTTTCTCTATCTTCTTCGTTTATTTATGCATGATTTACATAGAAGAAAAAAAAATCAAATGTTTGTCTCTAGTTTCCATCGATCAAAACGAAAATTTAATGTTTATATATATATATATATATATGTAAAACTTATGCAATATATATAATTCAACAATTGTATATATTACTTCTAATTAAAAATCATATTCAATAATGTTTGAAAATAAAATAATCATTGAATAGACAAGATGTTGTAAATCATATCGAGATAAAGAGTTGTCTTTTTTTTTCATCAAATAATTAAAATATGACCCGTAAATTTTACCTTTGCTATTCGGTTACATACACACGTTCATTTATATATATATATATATATATTATAATGAGGAAAGGAAAACACCTAAAGCTAAAAACGCTATTCTATTCTTCTCTCATCTCATTATTTCTTTCATTTTCAAATAGATAGAATTCTTTGTTGGTTAAATCTTGATGCGTACATATCATACTTTTTTTTTTTACTAATACCTGGCTGTTTTTTATTCATGCAAAATAAATATTATAGATATAACATACCATAAAAAAGAAATCAAATTCTGCTTGAGTTGATAGTGGAAAAACAGCAATGAATAGAATGTTGAACAAATGTCATGAACGGATTTTCTATGCACGCTTATTTCATCATTAATTCAATTTATTCTGCGAGATTTGTCATCATCTTGTATTTTATATTTCTTTTTTTTTGTAGCTTCCTTTTTTTCTTTTCTATTACGTTGGAATGAATCTGAAGACGACAGACTATTAATATATTTTTGTTGAACATTCACATCCTTTTCCGTTAGTTCTTCTAACATTAACAAACTAGTTAGAGATGTATATATACAAATATTTTAAAGTATCATCTTATTATAAAACAAGAACAAATTATTCTGTAATGATCTCTATTTTACTTAACAAAACTTTCTGAATAATTACATAGCATCTAATAATGATCATAAATAAAAGATTAAAGAATATTTTTTTAAATGAATGTCTCATCGACCCGTAAATTGTTCATATTGGTGATTGTTATACGTGTTGTTCAAATTACATACAATTATAGACGAGAGTAGACGAAGAAGAAGGATCGAACGATGACACACATACATATATATACATTCATCTATCTATCTATTGCCACAAACCGTCGCTCTTTCTAATGGGTTACGTAAATGCTGACACACACATATACACATACACACACTTGCATTACCTATCGTCCTCATGTCTATTGACATAAAACAATGCGCAAGAAATTATGTAAAATAGTAATCGTCGTCATCGTCTTCGTCAGTATATTGCTTAGTCTGACCACACTTACCGAAGCTAATCAAACTGACGAGAAAAAGCAAAGAGAAAGGGTGGAGAATATTTGTGCACAAAATGCCGAATATCAGGTTCGTTATACTATATATGTATATAAATTTTGTTTTTTTGTTCTAGTAAATGCAAGTCGATTGAACTATAGAATAATAATTTTTAATTTATTTCATCTATTTTCATTCATGAATTCTATTATACTAGAAAAACCACATCCGTAAGATAGTTATTGAATTAATTAAATTTATGCATATTTTTTCGTTTAAAAGATCTACTTCAAATGAATCAAATAAATTAATTCATATATGTACTCAATGTGCGCGTACATTTAAAGATATAAATAATTTTCGTGAACATTTATTTCAAGAACATGGTGAATTGGGTGTTAATGTTCGTCAATGTCATCTATGCTCGTATGCAACTTTATTAAAATCTAAATATGATTGTCATATAGTAAGAAGATTTTCTTTCCCGAATATCTCTATCGATTTTTCTATATCTATTTTCTAGAGATGTCATTTAAATAATCGAGTTATTCGTTGTCAAAAATGCAATTATTCAACAATTAATATTAGGTTTGATACTCTATTAAAAATATTATATTTAATTGAGCTTAGAATATCTTTTTCTATGGAGTATTTCTAGGGTTTAATACGTATATGTAATTAATTCTTTTATTTTATAGACATATGTCGAAACATGAACGACAACATAGTATATCTCGTATGATGGATACAGATATATCTGAAACAAAACGTGCTCGAATTAGTAATATATCTATGGATACTGATAAAGATGAAAAAATGAAATCAAATAATGAAAAACCTAGTTTTTCAACTTGTTTTTTAACTGATAAAATTTTAATGCCGGATGATAAAAAATCTCTTGAGTAAGTTTAGTTTATTTTTTCTTATACGAAAATGATAATCCTTCTTCTTTCTTTTCTATTAGTAAATCAGAAAATTCTCGTTCAAATAGTTGTTGTTCAACAGATGATTCATATCGTACTCCATGTTCACATCAAAATAGTCTTGTTTCTTTACGTACAAATGTTTGGACATTACTTCGAATGTTACTTCCTCAATTATCACTTTATCATCCATCAACATTTTTAATTGATTATGAATCCGATCATTCTATTGATCGTCTTGTTACTAATCTCATACAAATACCATCAATTCATAGATCATATCCATCTATGTAATCAGTCTTTCATGTATAGATTGTTGTTGTTGTTGTTGTTGTTGATTTGTTTTTTTTTTATCAAGAAAAAATAATAATTATCTTTATTGGGTTATGCTTTTCATCAGTAGAAAAGCTTATTAATACATAAAAAAATTTCGATATAATTTAATATTCATAAAACGTATATTAATATCTAATTTATAAAGATTTACTTATCAGGCAATAGATATTGTATGAGTTTAAAGCAGGATAAGTGCACTAATAAGATTATGGAAGCCAATATACATGTTTAGAACGAAACTAAAAAAACTAATTAACCGTTATATATTAATACAATCAACAGTGAGATTCTGATATATCTATTTTTGTATTAATATCTATCAAGCAAAGCAATGTTGTTAAGACCTTTACTTGATATTAATTTAAACTATTACGTTTGAACTTTTTTTAACTGATAAACATGCGTCGAAATATAATAGTTACCTAGATAATACCGTCTGGTCTGACATACGTGTCAAGTGTTTACAGCATTTATTGCGAAGAAAGAAATAAACGAAGATTATCATTTCATTGGACGTTAAACAAAATATAAATAAGCAGAAGATATTTTGAACACTTCTGGCGATTTTCTTTATATTGCTAATAAATGTTTCGATCGGCTGTGTACACTTCCTGTTAATATTGACTTAATTATGTATTCCAGCGTAATAATACATTTTTTGATTAGTATTTAAATTATTGGAATAAAATACTGTTCATTTCTAGGAAGAACTATTTGATCTAAGATCAATTTCATTTTCTTAAGTACTTTCAGAACAATTTGATCATATACTCGAGTTATCTCAAAAGAATCAATAATGATGTTGAACGGAATGAACTAGGTCGTCATACAGTACTGAATAATAATAAAATTCATATACTAAAACAAATTTTGTATAGATATTCGAATAGAACGCCGAGCAATATTATTAATAGGTTCTTTCAATAAACTAGTCTGAACTATTTGACGTTACCACTGGTCGTTGAGTTTTCATTCAATGCATTCACAATAACGATTAAATTTCTGTTTATTACATATAGAATATCAATGACGAAACATCATGTTCAATGGTATAAAAGCGTTTAAAATTGATATTAATGATCGAACTAAGAAATCTGACAATGGGATACCTTTCCTGTACTTGAGTTTATTTTTAGTGAATAAGTACAATTGAAAGCATATATGTATCATAGTTGACATTCTGATGAAATCAACTAAAGATAGAATAAAGAGTTTTTATTTAAAAATTAGTATTATTTATTTTAAGTCAAAATAGCAATCAGATGTGCATTGCTTTTTGACTATAATATATATTTATAGATGTAAATATAGCAAAAAAGTTAACTTTTTTTAAAAATGATTAAAATAGGAAGAAAAACGAGTAACAAGAAGAATAGAAATAATACTAATTCCAAAAAAAAAAAAGAAAATGAAAGAAAACAAACGTTTTTAAATTTTATTCGTTTGTTTTTCACCATATTATTCACTCGAGATATTGAGTGAGAGAATTTTTGTTCGTTGATTTATTTTAGACACAAATATGTAAACATATATGTGTATAAATATCGATGAAATATTTTGGGTTTTTTTGTTTTGATTAATCGGAGAAATAGAAAATAAAATATATTTAGATATAGAAATATATATTATTGACTACTATGTAATGTTTGTTGACCATTGTTACGTGTGGGAGTATAATGAAAAGAATTTGAATGATTATTATTGTTATTTGATATTTGAATATGAGAAAAAATATCATCTATAAAAGCACCGTTTTGAGTCATTAAATTGTAAGGAGATCTTATTTGATTATTCAGAATATGATATGGTAAACTATTATAATAATAATAAGCAGTAGCTGCTTGCATTTGAAGTGCATATTGTTGTTGTTGATGTTGAAATTGTCGTTGATCTTTTGGAATAGCTTTTTTAACATCAACATGATATTTACCAATTACATGAGGTCGTGCAAGAATAACTTTATCAACAGAATCATAGTCTAAAATATAAATGAAAATATCATACTATTTTGAACAATAATTCCTATTTGTATCGTTGACTCAGAATATTGATTATCCCTTTAACGGGCGGTGGGACATATATGTAACACTTTTTTTCTTTTCGATCATAGGGTTACGGTGAAGTAAGAACAATTATTTTGGTATAAAATACTATGATACTGCATAGATTGAATATACCTATGAGGGTGTGAGTGTGGGTGTAGATACAATGGCAAAACCCAGAGTCACAGCCACAGCCGCACCCATCCACTAATAATCTGCATCAAAGCTATAATTCTATGAGAAAAAAATTGACAAAACTTGCTCATCCAAAAGTCACTCATTAAAGGGTTATGGTAAAAATCTGCCGTTTGTCTAATGTATGATGATATTTAGGAAATTATTTCAAATTTTACTGCTGTGTCTGTTACAAACTAGAAATATCCGTACTTATACATTTAGTCTCAAAGTAGGATGAATTTCCTTCTAATTATAAGTGCTTTCTTTAAATTTCGTTTTTCGGGTGGGCGGCGCCCACCTGCTAGATAAAATACTGCTTCAGAAAAAGAATTCTACTGTGATGAAAGTTAATTTACCATCAAATTCAATAAAAGCAAATCCACGTGTCTTTCCGTTTTTATCATGCATAAGAAGACAATCATTGATATTTCCATATTTTTCAAAATGTTTTCGTAATGTATCTTCATCAAGTCCATCACGAATACCTCCAATAAAAATTTTTTTAACTGTTAAATGAACATCATCATTATTGGCTTCTTCACGTGGCACTAGAAACAAAAAAGCAACATCATTCGTTAATAAAATGAAATAATCTTTTTTGAAAATTAAGATTCTTACTTGCTCGTTTTGGATCTATTTGTCGACCATCAACTATATGTGGTCTTTGTTTCATAAATTCATCAACTATTTCCGAATTAATAAATGTAACAAAACCAAAACATTTCGATTGACCTTTTTGATCTTTCATTACTAAACAATCAGTTATTTCACCAAATTTTATTGCATAATCTTTTAATGTTTCATCTGTTGTTCTAAACAAAGAAAAAATCTTATTTATTTTTAAAATTCTAATTCATTGTTTTACTTCAAAGATAAACCACCAATAAATAATTTTCGATATTGTTCATCATTTGTTAGACTAAAATAAAGAATTTCTTCTTATTTTCATTATTATCTTGAATAATCTTACCGTATTCGAGATTTTTCTTCATTAGATAACTTATTTTGATATGTTAACGGAGCTGAAAGAGAATATACATTCTTCGATAATTCTGATGCATATGATAATGTTGGAGGAGAAAAATCATTTGTATTCATTAATGGCATTGGTTTATAAAAATAATTTGATGGTTGAAAATAAGTATAGGATGAAGATGATGCCGTTGGTTGATTATATATTAAATTTGTTGGAGAATAAAATTCAGAATTTTGATTAGTATTTGAAATATTAATACGTGATATTTGTTCACGAGGTATTGCTTTTCGTACGTCAAGCTCCTTTTCATTGATAATATGAGGCTTTTCAAGAATACACCGATCAACACCATCATAATCATCAAAGGTTATAAATCCAAAACCACGTAATTTATCTAAGAAAAAGAAATCAAGATAAAACTTAGTATTTAAATTTTACATCACACACTAACCTTCTTTATCTTTCATAATATTACATTCAACAATATTTCCAAATTTTTGAAAATATGACCTATAAAATAAAAGGATATAAATAATGTACCGAATAACCCCTTCCATATATACTTCAATTTGTCTTCAGTTAAATCTTCTTTAATTCCTCCAATAAAAATTTTTCGAACAGTTAATTGGCCTTCTGCTTTCGATGCTTCATTGCGAGGCATAGCACGTTTGGGTTCGATTTTTTTTCCATCAATAATATGTGGTCGATCTTTCATGAAGTTTTCAACCGTTTCGCGATCTTTAAAACTAACAAAAGCAAAACCACGTGATCGACCTTCTCTATCACGCATAATAACACATTCAATTATTTCACCATATTTTGAACAATATTCTCTGAAAAAAAATCAAAGAAAAAAAACAAATATTTTATTTTTGGTAATATTTTTTGTTTACTTTAATTTTTCATCGGTAATCGTATGAATTAAACCACCAATAAATAATTTACGGAATTGTTCTAATGATAATTTCTCATCTTGAGGAGATTCTAGGCTTTCATTAGATGAGTTTGGAACGATGGCTGCTGTTGAATCCATATAATCTAACTAAATAAATCTACCTATTCCAATAGTTTCTACTAAAAACTAAAATATCTAAAATACTTCGAAATAAAATTATTAATCTAATATTTTTTCTATATTAAACTAAAGGAAAATGACTGATGTTTACACAGTCATCGTTTAAAATATTCTAAGTAACATGTGATTTTGATATACGATAAGCATACGATGATATATGTACACTTGAAAAACAGATAGATTGCTTTACTAGATAATACGCCATATTAAACGCATACAATTTAGTACAGAGTTTTATCTAAATATCTCTCTTACTAATATTTAATTAGAATAAACAGAGTGATATTTCAGTTTGTATTCTTAGAAAGGGCAAACTAATGTATGATATTTTTAGCTTTATAAAAACTTGTATAAACTGTACATTTGATATGAATATGGTCGAATCGTATTTACTTTATTGTATTCAATTATAAGTTACTCACGTAAATATGTAAATATACGAGTTACGTACAACGTATTTGTAGAGTAAATAAATAAAAATGTTTCTTCAATAGGATTAAAGAGAAAAATAAAAGAAACCCTTCGAAATAGATATTATTAGTATATTGATTGACTTGTTTCTGTATTTTCATTCGCTGATTAGTTGTATGCTTATATTTTGGTGAAAGAGTGTACACATATAACGACATCTATTTATATTTGCAAAAGAAATAGATTTATTTATAGAGATAGAAATCATTTCATAGTATTCTAGTCACATTTTTATCAAGAATATATCAAGAATATTAGCTTTTAAATTCTTTATCACTCAACAATCGATATATAGCGATTTCGTACAAAATGTACATTAAGTCTGGTTTGAGAGAAAACAACATTTTAGTGACTAATATATCAACGACTAATCACATACGTCAGTCTGTATATATACTTTATTTATGCCTTAGTAGTCTGATGTTATTAGTATTGCTTTGTTAACGATTAATGATTGGAGTTCTAACATTAAATCTCATCCATATTAAAGCCGCTAGGCCGATTTATGAAGGAAAACAATGGCAACCAACGAAATATATACATACTGTTCTGAGTCAAATGTTCCCTATGTATACTATCGTAAAACTCTGCAATTGAATAATGATTTGTTAAGTCTAAATGTGATACACCTATATAAATTCTCACTTAGTAATAGAATGATTTTTTTAAATATACATCAATAAAGATACAATTGATAGATATTATCTTCCCCTAAAATTCTCTTGTATAACTATTATTTTTATTTATTAAAACCAGATGATCAAAATCACTTTCAACACTGCTTGTACCTCCTCTACTTTTTCAATCGTTAAACGGACGATATTTTGCAATAGAAGCAAAAAACAAAACATCATCCTATTAAATCTATGCTTCATTGAAAAAAAAATATTTCACGCTATGATAGATACGAGTAAAACTTATATTTTCAGTTGATAGTCATCTTATTCTTCTTATTAATATAAATTAAGAAAATGAAATTATTTTAAAGAAATTTATTATTAATATCAGTAAAAAATACATGTTAAAAAAAGTTAACCATAATATATACATTAAAAAAAAGCGTGTTTATACAATATTAAATAAATCAACCGGTATAACAGAACACATTTTTTTAGTTTAAACAAGATATTTTTTTGTTAGGAAAACTATAAGTTTATAGTAGGGTCTAAAATGAAATATTTGATGTAATCCATCTATTCACATATACATAACTTTTTGCATGTAGCTACACAACCTTCGTAAAGCATGTTGTTGCCAAGCGTAACATCCGAAGCACAATTATTTGGACAAACTAATTGACAGTATTCATCCATAATACCACTTATATCGAATACTTGACTGAATGTTATCGCTGATCTACACTTTCGACGAGCTGCAGGCGTTGTTGTTGGTTTTGGTGTCGTTGTTGTTGTGGTGGTGGTTGTTGGTGTTGTAGTTGTAGGTGGATCAACAATTGATTCAACATCACCAACAATAGCAATATCAGAACAACCATAAAATTCTTCATTTTTTTTGCCGCAACCCATACAAGCTACACCATTAGATTCTCCCCAACTGTTGCCTGTAATATATTTCCATTGAAACACACAATGTTTACATACAAGATTTTGTGGTAACGTTACATTTATGTGCACAGTTGTAGCGGTGTCACTGACTTGATATTGTGTTGGTTCAATTTTTTTATGTGGAACTCTTATATCATTTGTAACATTTAATAAATTTAAATCAAGACAGTTATGTGTAGCATCCTTAGTTGGATCATCGTCAACACTGCATACACGAAATTCAAATGAACCTTTATGATTTGCTGTTAACTAAAATATTTGACAAAAATTATAATTATCAATTTAGAATTATCTTGAAACTTACAACGACAGTCACTTGTATAGTAGAACCTTGAGTATATGTTCGAACAATTTTACCCAAATACATTTCATCACCCATGCCAAGTAATGTAGGTTTAAGATCAGCGGCTTCACCACATATTGAACATTTTCCTCCTAAATATAATTTCATAAATAAAGGTACATTAAAATCAAATATTTAATTACTATTAACAATCCATTCATGATAAGCTCCACCACAAGACATTTCCGCATGATTATAATATCGACAACATTTTGAAAAATCTTTATCAAACATCCATGCTGAACTACGTGCTGGTGGATCAGCTAAATAACCATGACCATCAATTTGTTTGATAGAATAAAAAATTTGTAAGAAAAATAGTATATAGACAATACGACACATTATGTAAGTTAACTGTTTATACAAAAAATGCACTGATGAAACACAAAAGCATCAGTAATTTATATCCATTAAAAGGTAAAACGCGTAATTTCCTTCCGAAAATATGAAATCAAGGTTATCTATTGTTTTATCTTGTTGTTCAGTATAGTAGGTGGTAGTTATGATTAAGAATAACTGTATAGAGTAGGTGCATGTGACACAGTTCGAATAGATAATAACAAGAAAATAAACTTTCCATATTGAGGTGAAGGACATAAGGTGAAATCACGAGTTACTTCATAACTATCTTCGTAATTATTTTGTTATGTTATTTTCAAATAATCGTCAAGGATAAATTATAATCAATGACGCAATATAGAACAATACATATAGAATGACCTCCAAAAAATTTTTTTTTCATCACTAAGAATATTTATTCACTTAATTCATTGATTGTTGTTGAAAATTGAAATGATATTAGTTATATTTCATCAGAACGTTTCCGTTATAATCATAAGAAGAAAAAGAACGATGAATAGAATCAGAAATGTAAGTCATACCGGATAATAGATCTTAATCAAGCCGAACTACATATAATATAGTTATTCACTAAATAAGATGTATTTTTTGTTAATAAACTTTTTATTAAAACCAAATTTCATAAAAGAGTATTTAAAACATTTTTGCACTCCACAGGTCGTTCTATTCTCTCTTACTACGCGGATAGTTTTTTGTATTATTCTCGTATGCGGGCTATTTTCATACAATTAAACAATACAGCCTATAGTTCTATCATTAGAATCAACCGAATAAGTTATTAATTAATAAATATAATTTTCACACAATGTAAATATTTTTCGAATCAAAAATTGTTTTTATTGCTTATCATCATAAGATTTGGATTATAAATATCTTAAATAGTTTTCTAATTCCACATCAGCTTAAACTTACTTTATGTACACGAATAATCTATTTAATTAAAATATTTTCACGATTTATTAACGTTTAGAAAAATATTTTGTTTTTGAATACTATCACGACAAGTTTTTCGGTTCGATAAACCACATTTGATTCATAACATTTAAGAAACAAATAGATCTTTCTTTTTCAAACAATAGTTTATTGAGATATATATACATTGGCTTGAATTTCAGAATTTCTAATTATGTTCTGAAGACATGAATTTCTTTTTTTAGATATAATAACTTTGAAAAATTAAAATTCTTAAACCAATGAAAAAGTAATTAGACGACATGACAGTCCATTGTTAACCTCCGACATTACCTTTCTTTTTCTTATTGGTTATTCTATTGATTCATCCAATGGTCTTTCGCCATACTATTATATTATAGATAGTCGAGTCGACCGGTCAAATATATGCATGGCTTTATATTATGATGAAATACTCGCTGGAAATTGTGCCGGACAAATAAATATTATGCCACCGCCTAGCTCAAATAAAACTCTTCTAAAAGATAAAAAACAATTATTAAATCTAACGGATGAATTAGGATTTTCTATTGAAAAGTTATTTGATATGGGTCGACAATTTCTAAAAGGTACATTGACATGAATAGAATTATATATAATAAATCTTTCATACGTAATTTCCCTTTTAAGATAAACAACAAAATAAAGAAATACAATTAAAATATGGTGATAATATACGCTTAATTGCTTTATCTAAACAAATAAAAATAGGTAAATGGAATGCATCATATACGCAAGATGTTGGATTTCTTGATGTTGTTGGTAATGATCGAAAGTAAATAATTATATTTTGTATGAGAAAATTTTTATTTTGTGTTAATTTTATTCTAGACAAGCATGGATTACTTTAGGTGATATGACAAAAGAGCAAGCTATGGAAGAATATGTTAAATTATTATTAGAACGTTGTCCAATGTTTCAAACATATATTGAAACACAACATAATAAAACTGAAGAGGATAATCGACTAAGGTAAAATATATAAGAGAGAAAATTTTCTGTTTATGACATTAGCTTTATGTCTCTTTGATGAATGAAAATAGTTTTCATTTGGAAAATTTTTATAAATAATAGAAGATTTTAATACCTCGATGTATCTTCATCATATTTTTTAGACGTTTGCGCTGTTTCCTTTTGCTTCTTCATACCTGTCTGAACTAGCGACAATAATCATATTTAACATTATTTTTACTTCTTTTCTTCTTCTTTTTTTGCGCATCTACATTATTATCTCCGTTATTCAACAACAGTTTCAGTTCATCTCTTACTTCTCCTTTTTTTTTTTATATCAACTATCTTATAGTTGATGGTCTGTGCTAGTCATAAACGGGCATTTTTCTCGACTTTTTCTTACCAATGAGTATAAATAGAAGAAGAAAAAAAGAAGAAGAAGAAGGAGAGGGAGAAAAAAAAATTGTAGAACGTTTATGCGAGAATCCTTCATTATAGTTACATTGAGATTTGATCCACTGGAAAAAAACAAATGAGCGGCGGAAGAAACAGAGGATTCTCTGAGCTTCTTCTTTCTCTCTTTCATCTTTTTTTTTTGTTTCTATCACGTCATTTGTTCATGTAAAAGAGAAAAGGCAAGTCGCGTAAATTACTTTTCTATTCGTCAAAATTATAAATAAAAGATAACTTATATTTTCTCTCTAACGTATCTAGTTTTTTTATTCTTAATTAAATTTTCGAAAAAACAAGACGTAATAATATATTTAAAGATATAGATTACTTGTTCTGTTGGTTATATTTTTTTTAAAAGGAAATTTATATGTAAAAAAAATTTCCTTACTTTTAGAGAAGACGATGAAACTCGTCGTACATTAGAACAGGAAGCTGAACAATTAAGACAACGCGAATTAGAACAATTTCTACGTTTGGAAAAACAACAGAAAAAACGAGAAGATTTTCAACGGTAACTATCTATAAATCAAAATACTCTGTTTTTGACAGGGAAAAAAATAACATATTATTATCTTAGGAAACAAATTCAAGACGTACTTAATCAACAAACTTACGCACAATTCAAAGCGTACGCCGTACAGCAGTATCGAGATAATCCACAAGCAGTAAGAATATATATGTTTAACAAAAATATTTTAGTCATTACTTTAATTTAGCAAGAACAATTGATTCGTCAATTGCAAGATCAACATTTTCAACAGTATATGCAACAAGTTTATCAACAACAATTACTTGATCAACAACATCAACTTCGAATTGTATGAATTTATTAATAAAACTTACAAAAATTTTATTTATATTTGATAGAAAACAAACATGGAACAACAACAACTACAACAACCAGAAAATTTTATATCAAATACAGCTCAACCACCACTATCATCAGCAACAAATGTGATACCACCACCAGCGGCAAACATGGTACCACCACCGCCAACGAACATGGTATCTCAACCACCACCAGCGGCAAACATGGTACCACCACCACCAACAAACATGGCATCACAACCACCGCTGAATATGGTATTACCACCATCGGGACTTGTGATATCACCACCGGTCGCTAATTCATTACCATCACCAACAATACCTGACAACACAATAGTTCCACCACCATCACTAAATGTAGTTCATCCACAGGTACCAACGAATATGATATCTCCATCATCACCAACAAATGTATTTTCACCACCCGTATCAACAGATATGGGACCATCATCAAATACGAATCTGACATCTGCTTCAAATATTCCTTTACAACCAATGTCTCAAATATCACCTCTTGCTCCTGCACCGGCTCAATTACCACCTTTAGTTCATCCTCCTCCCATGATGCCATTTCAAACGTCAATAAGTAATAATAATGCAACTCAAGAAATAAAATTAGAACCCATTGGTTCTTTTCAAACACAATTTGAAACACTCACTCTCAATACTCCATTGGAACTAATCACATCTGCCGTTCCACAAGCACCCGTTAACGAAGATTTAACACAACAACAACAACAATATCCATCAGGACAAATCAACAATGAATTAAATACTACACAAGAATTAGTAAATGGTAATTCAATTGTCCCACCCATCGGTGAAGCTAACGCTATAGTAAATCCAAATGGTGAATTATCCTTAGTACCAGAAGAAGGTAAACGTGGTATGTATCTCAAATTTTTAATCATAGACATAATCATAAATATACATCTCTTTTTACTAGAATTACCAAATATAACTCCAGCAAATATGTGGACAAGAAAAGATATAAAAGAATTTAAAGAACAAATACGTAAAGAAAAAGATGCTGTTATTAAAATTGGCAGTGGTGAAACTGTTACAGTATGTGTCTTTTCTTTTGTAAAAATTTTGACATGTCTTTTTGGATTATTTTTAAAGTATATAATAAGGCAAAGAAAACATTTCATTGAGATTAAAATTTCATAGAATTTTTTTTTCTTCGTCGTCATCTAGTATATAAATAGACTATAAGGAACTCACGTTTTATTTTTAATTAAAAACATATTTTTTAGGTACGAGTTCCAACACATGAAGATGGTCAATGTATATTTTGGGAATTTGCGACAGATTATTATGATCTTGGTTTTGGTTTGTATTTTGAATGGGGTAAAGCACAATCGAATAGTGTTACAGTTCATGTTAGTGATTCAAGTGATGAAGAAGAGAATGAAGATGGAACTAATCGTAAATATTTAATAAAAAAAACAATAAAAATTCGATTTATTTATTTTTTTGTTTTTCTTCATTTAGCGGAAAAGAAAGATATTGAAAAAGGTAGTGGAAGTACAAATAAACCACCCAAACCACCCCAAGATGAAATAGTTCCAATCTATCGTCGTGATAGCCATGAAGAAGTATATGCTGGCAGTCATCCATATCCTGGACATGGAGTTTATTTACTTAAATTTGACAATAGTTATTCATTATGGCGTTCAAAAACACTTTATTATCGTGTTTATTATTCAAAATGAATGGCAATCGAGAATACAAACAAATGCTTCTTTCTTTTTTTTTTTCTTATTTCTCTACTCTCATTTATTAATGTTCGTCTTCAATTGTGATCTTCTTGTTATTTTGAAAAATTGGGAATATATTCGTTGTTTTTTCTTGTGAATTTTATGTTATATATATATATACATTCTTCTTTTTCCCTTCCGGTATTTGCTTGTTAAAAAAAAA